TATTGGAGAGATACAGCATGTAGCTAAGAGACCCACTGCAGAAGCAGACGTGATGATTAGACCTAGGATTTCACCATCCGGGGCATGTGGTCTGTCTAGAATGCGTCCATTGACCTGTCTGTGTTCCTATGTCAGCATCTATGTAACGGCATGTAGTTCGCTGTCAGCCCTCTTCTAGCCCTTCTCACCTTCATGCTTTGAGAGCATTCAAGAAACAGAGATCACTGCGCATGCCAGCCCTCTCCTGGGCGTCTATGTCCCGGAGATGAGGTAGCATGGCCACCACTAGCAGGCAAGGCTGCTGCCAGCTCTCTGATCCTCCAACAGCCTGGTATACAGGAATGCCTGTTTTCCTGGTACCTAAGTCCTGGGCTCAGCTGGGGTGCAGTTTCTTCCCGTCACTCCAGGTCTGTCTATTAGTTTGCCATCTCAGCATGCAGGGGTTTCAGGAGTACACACCCACACAGGCATCTGTCACTTCTATGAGAATTTTCCTCCTGAAGCCTGGTCTTTCAATCCAGGTCTAACTGCTCCAAGTATGCTCTGTAGGTCAGTGAGATGCCTCAGCAAGAAAAGGCGCTTACCCGTGAATCTTATAACCTGTGTGTGATCCCTAGGACCTATACAATGGAAGGAGAGAACCAACCCCACCACATCTGCAAGTTGTTCTCTTGTGCATACACATGTGCACTCTTACACACACACACACACACACACACACACACACACACACACACACAAGTGCATGAGTTACTCTTAGTTTCTGCTTTGTTGTCCATGAATTCACCTCTTCTTTATCCTGGTGCTACTGAGACTTCATAAAGCTTAGATGACACACTTTTTGGGAGCTATTCAGTTTCTTTCATGTGTTGACCATTTATTTTAATGCATCAAACGCTTCTCATATGAACACAATAGGCAGAAAGCACACACCGTTTGCTTCCTTTTGCTATCTCATGCATATGGTAAATATAACAGCATTTGGTAAGAGTCATTGAAATATCACAGAATTGTATATTGTGCACAGGCCAGTCCCCTCAGAAGCCTGATGCATGCTGGGTAAGACATTTGACTGTAATCAGATAAGGTGTCCCTTAATCACTCGCTCTCCGTAGGACCATGCATATGTTCTCCTAAATGACTTTATCCCACTGTTACCCTAATTTGAAATTTTCTTTTTTCAGCCACATAAATAGAAGAACACAGTTTGAAAACCCTGTCCTGGAAGCAAAAAGGAAGCTACAACAGCATAACATGCCCCACACAGACCTTGGAGCAAAGCCCCTGCAGGCCCCAGGTTTCCGAGGTATGGTGTCTGGCGTCATGCAGGGAAGCAGAGGAAACACTGTCCGAGAGACGGTGTGCTCTTCCAGATAGATATGCCGGTAGGAGGGCCTGCCTGATAAAAATACCTGGCTTGACTTCTCGAGACTCTCCCAGTAGCTTTATCATTATTTTTAAACTAGTGCATTTAGCTGCCACAAACTATGTTGAGGCCACTGGGCAGTACTTTATAGGAACTTTATGTTGCCAGGTGGGACATTGATAGTGGGACAATAAACTGCAAAGAGTCTCCAAAAACTCAAGCATGGGAGTGAGGCTTGTTTTCCTTTGTGACAGTAGGCCGCTCATCGGCGACATTACCTAGGCCCAAATCCATCTTCCCCCGTACTGACCCGGAGAGGTCCCGCAGTGTGAATGACTTGTCTTACTATCTGCTGGACCACAGAGGGACTCCCTGGCCACTCGGTATGTCTCAGGGCTGCTTGAGGGCCTGACTACACCTGGGAGCCACCTAGTGGGATGAGTGGCTGCACACTTTCACCTCTTTTGCGCTTCTACTAAATTAAAAAAAGAATGCACACAAGAGAGGCTTCGGTGTCCAGAGCCAACATTTGCCTGGAAGTGAGGTTCACGTCACATGCCTGCAGCACTCTGCAATGAATGTAAAGGTCTCCTGCGGAGCTAAGCTCCACCTTTAAGCCCTGCTTTGATGAACATAGCACAGAAGAGTCTTTGTGGGGGTTTAATTGCATTTTAAAGAAAAGTTTGGTAAAGATAATATGCGGAAGGTAAATGGACTGATAAATTAAAACTCCATCATAATGACTTATTGTTCATCCTATGAAGCAAAAAAAAAAAAAAAATAGAGTATCATGCAAAGTATGTAGCTGATTTCCTACTTACAGTTTGGCTACTGTGCATATCAGATCATACCACCTTCAAAAAGGATATGAGATGCTTATCCACAAAGCTGAGGGTGGTAGTACATGTAATTCTAGCACATGGGAGACTGAGGCAGGAGGACCAAGAGTCCAAGGCCACCTGGATTACAGAGCAAGGCCTGTCCTAACAAAGTAATTAGAATAAAATATTTAAAGCCTCATGGTCTACCAACTGAGCTAGCCAAGCCAAGTAAAATACTTCTCACAGATGAAATTTAAAAAATAATTAATTCCACTTCTTCATATGACAATAATTTTAAAGTATTAAATGTGCTTGGAACCATATTTATTAGAACTCATTGTTGGAAAAGTCTATCATATAACAAATGAGTGGCCAAGCTTGGGTTCAAATACTGTTTAGATTATTTGGGCATACGGTTTGAATATGTCAACATATTACAAAATGTGTCACCTTTACATTCATAACCATCTAGAAATGTTGGCTTTCTGTTTGCTCACTGGCCAGTGGAGATGTATCTGATTGAATTTATAACATCTCACAGCATAGAAGTGTCAACAAAAATTAACTCAGTCCCACATCCAGGTATGCTCTCTAAGCAGTTTTGACCTTTAAGTGTGCTGCTTCTCTCCTGGTGTGATCTGCACCGTTTAATGTCCTTAAACCAGTCTATTTGATTTTCTACCCCATGCAATCAAGGCTGTGTGCAGGAGCAGCTACTCACACACCCCTCCTCCCTGAGAACTCTCATGACTGGAGAGTTATAAGTCAGTTGCTATTTGAAGCTTTCTTGCCTTCAAAGTTGACATTGCCCTTTTTAACCTCAAGGGCTGATTTCAAGAAAGCACACACTGACAAGTCTCTCTACAACCATACAGCCTTTCATGATTCCCTGGATGCTTGGGACGGCTCTGTATTTGTAGGATGCTCTAATTGTCTGGCTCTTCTCACCTAGTGGCCACAAGCTTGCATCTACCATGTCAGTCTCCCACATTCTCAGGGATTGCTGCTCAGAGGTTGGGGCTGTCTGATAACTTGTCTTAAAATGTCTTTTCCTTTTTAACTTGTATTGGCCAACGTAGAAAAGCCGCTCTTCACCCGGGATGCATCCCAGTTGAAGGGAACGTTCCTCAGCACCACCCTCAAGAAGAGCAACATGGGCTTTGGATTCACCATCATTGGTGGAGATGAGCCGGATGAGTTTCTCCAGGTGAAAAGTGTGATCCCGGATGGACCTGCCGCACAGGATGGAAAAATGGAGACCGGTAAGCTCCCTGGAGCCAGGAAGTGGCCCTGTGGTGACTCCTCTGTAAACAGAACGTGGAGATTCCTCCATGGTTTTAATTCTAAAGTCAAAGGTCACTTTGATTCAGAAAAATGACAAGTCATATATGTTCCCTACTTTAGATTTTTGAGCTGAAATCACTTGTAAACAACATGGAGAGTCGATTTCTGTCTCACTTATCAGACCCTTTGTTCGCCGGTTGGTCTAACAGATTCATGAAACTACCCTCTTCCAAGTTATTTCACACTCCTTGGGGATGAGATCAACATCTCACACTTTGCTAACTTATATTCAGTGCCTGATATTTTTAATCCTGTATTAATCCTTCAATATTCATATACTAAATTGCTCAGGTTAGATATTTAAGTGTGCATACATATCTCATAGAAAAAATTTTAATAACATTACTTTTTTATATGTATCTATACAATGTCTTAATATATGGATTTTTTCTAGTCATTATCACTTAATTTTCATATATAAGTACTTGGGTGTCTATCTAAATTATAACTGAAATTGATTTCACATGGAAATAAAGGCCCAGATTGTTAAGGACAGAAAAAAATAAAATATACAAAGTCCCCAGAGCAGAAAAAAAAGTAATGAAGTAGGTCTAATTTAAGTCTGATTTGTGATTCTCTTACCTAACCCATGACTTTGAATGAGTTCCATAATTTACAAATAGTCATTTCCTGATGTGAGAAAAAATAAATTAAATTTGATCATCTGAATCATATGATTATAATGATATGCTGAATCATTTTTATGGTCTTATTTTTAAATCCCTTTAGATAGTATTAAAAGTATTGTAATTATACCTGTAAAGAAATATAGTCTATCACCATTTTTGCATTTTTTTACATCGATTCAATTAATGATCTCAGTTTTCTGAGTGGATCCTGTGAAATGCGCAAGTTAGAGAACTATGTTAGACAAGTTTTATCACTGCTATGATTATATATTTATAAATTGAATTGTTTCCATGAGTCCAAAAGGTATTTATAGGTGGAGAGAAAACATAATATCAAAGTCTTCATTTGAAATTATTTTTAAAGTGGCCAAAGCTTTAGAATTATTTTTCAGTTTCTTTACACCTGTCATTTCCCAAGATTCCTATGTGAGTACATATTTCAGTACCACTCACTAGCAGGGAATAGTGTGTACAGTGCACATTGGGTCTCCTTGGAGATGTTAGACCTTCACACTATGCTCAAACTGTCAAAACTTGGGTGTGGGCCCTAGTAGGTCAACCAAACTGCAGGGGATGGCCATATATACAGAAGCACATGTCAGCCCAAATTGGACTTGATGGTTTTCTTTTTAAAGTTGGAAAGATAAATGGGGTATTTCTGGGAGGAATTATCAGAGAAGGGTGATATGGTGAAATACACTATGTGTGAATTTAAAAAATCTTTGAACTCCAAAACTCATCACATTTTGAAAACACAATTGTTTTAAAAATCGTGTGTACATAATTTTCTACAAGAGTTAGTGTCCAGCACCATAGCTTATCTAGAGAGTTAGAAGGCATCCGCACTTCCACACTGCCCTCCAAAAACCATAACCACTATAACTCAGTGAAAAATGCTCTTACAGTCTGCAGTTAGGACAAAAGCAAGTTATAGGATTCATATTGCTTTAATAGAAAAAGGATCCCCAGGGCTCTTGAACTTCTACAAAATACTTGATAGATCCACTTTTTCCAAGATAAAGAACCTAATTACTTTTCTATGATCTATCCCAGAATTCCTGTTTCAAAGTTAGAAAAGACTTCTAGAAAGTAGAAAGCAAAATGCAACATTTGTATAGCAAGTCTCTTTCTTCTCCTCCCTGTTTTTCTAATTTACCATACCCCATGGGCTAAGACTCATTCCACTGCAAAGCCACAGCTTTATCTAGAATTTAGCACATTTTGTTCATTTAAGAAAACCCCAAATCAGCTATGACTAGAGAAGAAAGAACCAGAGTCCTACATCTGCTCAGAGTCTCCTATTTAGCCTGCTCTACGTGCATTTAACAGACCCCTCCAGCCTCTCTGTTCTTGTCATTGCAATGTACCAGGGTTAGAAAGATGGGAATAACAGGACCTCATTTCCAGGGAACTTACATCTAGAAGGGGCTTTGGACACACTGATAAACTACTAGAACAGTGTGATGAGGCTACAATATCCCTAATGTTGAAACAAAATCAGGAGTGGGGGAAATAAATAACAAGAATTTTTAAAAAGGAGTGTGCTGCATAATTTTATTGGAACTTTAGAGGGATTGTAATTTCCTTTATTAGAAAAGAATTTAGTTAAACAAAATATAATGCTTTTTAAATATTCAAAAATATATATTCACATCTAATTACAAAATAATTTTAACATATATAAGTGTATTTCTATGAAATTGAACAGGTTATCATAGAAAGAATTGCTCTTTAATTCAGCAAATATTTAGTGAAGGTCTGTGCATGCCAAACATTCTACTAATTAATAATGATGCAAAGTAGAAAGACAAATGCTTCTATCCCCACAAAATTTGCAGTGTAAACAGAAATAATGAGTGAAATGTTGGTGGATGTTTATATCAATGCAATAATAAAAATGCATACCTGAATAATGAAATGGTAAAGAGGAAGAAGGTGTCAGCTTTGGAAAAAGAACTTCTCCTAATGTTCTGAAAAATCATCTCATGATGATGGTATTAAAAGATGAATAGATGTTTGCTGGCTGGACGAGTGAGAAGAGCTGTTGGAAGACACATATATGAAAAAAAAAAAAGGATTGGGAAAGACTGAGAGGTCTGCAAGCCACCAGTGAATGTTAGTGCTTCTGCCTGGGTGTACATTTGTGATGAACTTTAGAGTCACAAGTGAGAAAGACTGACTACACCTACAAAGACTAACTTACACCAAAAAACTGTAGATAATCATATATCCTAAAGTTCTAAAAGATCATAGGATACACATATCTTTACCTAAACTTCTCTGGACAAATTTTCAACCACTTAAGCACAGAGCCTTACTCTGTGGCTAACATTGTTCAGACATGTATCTATAGACCTAACAAACTGCTGGTAAATAACAGGTATTCACTTTGGTTTGTTTTATTCTGAGAAACCAAACCCAGGGCTTTGTACATGCTGGGTAGGTGCTGTCTGCAGCAGCAGGTGTAAGTACTGGATGGATGGATAGATGGATGGATGGATGGATGGATGGATGGATGGATGGATGGATGGACGGATGGATGGATGACGTTATAAATGAAGAAATGCCATTTGAATTTTGATACCTATTTTGTAATAGAGCCTAGGCAATGATGTTGAGTAAGGTAACTCACCACAAAAGCAAAATTAAACCCAGTTTTGATCTTCTACATGACATGGCATAAACAAGCATATTAGAGACCAAATTATTCTATTTTAAAAATATATATATTAAACATTAAAAATAACAAAAACAAACATTATAGAGATTAGAGGAAAATCACTGATGTTTAAAATGAGTGGTCTCATTTGATATTGAAATAAGCATGGCAATATTTTATTCAACATTTTTAGTTCTGGTTACATCTAGTTTAGGGAAACATGTCAGTAGCTTGTGTGGACACAAGAAAAACAACTGTGTGAAAATGTTTCCGCAAGGTTCTGCACCAGAGCAAAAAGGGTGAGCAGGGAATTCTTCCTTAGTTGGCAGTGACTCTGGAGTAGAGGACAGGCAGAAAGGAGGGTAGCGGCCTCTGGCTTCTGACAACTGAGCCAGTTCCCAGTAGTTCCAAAATGTTTGAGAAGTTTTCTCAAAACACATTACTGTGATGTCCAAGAACCATGTAACATTGACTATTAAGTATTCTACACATTCTGGAAATCAGATACCACAGACCCTGTTAATAATATCCTTTAAAATATTTTAGTGTCTTTGTGTCCTAAGAGAGCACTCTTTAAAGTATTCTAAAAATCAAATTTGATATAACATAGCTCATAGAGGCCACAGAGTCTGAAAGGTATTTAGCTACCATCTCCTGTTGAAAAGCTTTCTCACTGTATGATGGTCCGTCGTCCCGCTCCCCACCCCCCCTCCGCTAATATTTGAGTCGATGCTCTGTGGTTACCAGTATGTAGAGGGAAGAATGTTAGCCAACCCATGAGGTTCTCCTAGAGACCAGGGTAGAGTTATGAAGTCACAATGTTAGTTTTTTATTGACTCTCTTTACAGTATTTGTCTGTTTTAATAATAAGATCACAAACAAATACCCTGAAGGATGAGCATGCTAGCATTCCTTAGTCCCTGGTACTTCTTCATTTGAATAGATCAGTTTTACAAGTTGTTACCTCAGTGTTTGTGGCTACAAAAGTAGGGCTACCCAACTAGTTTTGCCATCCTTTAGTAAGGTGTGTGTGTGTGTGTGTGTGTGTGTGTGTGTGTGTGTGTGTGTGTGTTGTGCACATATATGTGTAGGTGCACATTTCAGAAGGTTGATATCAAAATGCCTTCCTCTGACATGTTCCACCCCATTCCTTTTTTCTTTCAAGACAAGCTGTCTCAGTGAACCTAGCTCTCACTAGCTCATCTAGACCAGCTAGCCTCCAAGCCCCAGGCATCCTCTGGTCTCACTTCCCAACACTGGGAAGGCCCACACTGCTATATGTGGCTCCTTATATGGGTTGGGAATCTGAACTCTAGTCTCATCCTTGGGCAGCAAGCAATTTAACCCACTGAACCATCTACACAATCTGTTTGGTAAGTCTTTTTAAATGAAGATTCTTATGCCCACAGACCTGCTGCTTCCAGATTCCAAGAAATGCTATTTGGAATGTATATTTACATCCTTATAATTTTGTCAAAGCAATATGTTCACAAACTGAAAAATTAGCATGAAAATGTTTATAGTGGACAAAATATTTCTTTACCTAGCCCTCCCTTCCTCCAGGACTACATCCAAGATGCAGCAAATTAGTTCCAGGCATATTCAATCTTTTGATGCTGCAATACAACAT